CCTGCCTGCCCCCTGCCGGCCCCCTGCCGGCCCCCTGCCTGCCTGACTCCTGCCCGCCCCTTGCCTGCTGGCTTCCTGCCTGCCTGCCCGCCCCGGGTGGGGGCATATGGAGTAGAGCCCAGCCCGTGTAGAGTCCCAGATCCTCCCCCATTCCAGGTTCCCCTCAAGGGCCAACCCGCACCGCGCCAGAGCGGGGCTGCGGAGTCCCCCAGCCGAGTATTTCTAATAGCAGCGGAAAATAAGAGCACACAGCATCAAAACAGGGAAAAAACTGCAGCTATCCTTATTCAACAAAGGAGTAATAGTAAAAACAACAGCATGCAGGAGTATGTGTTACCGTTTTCATTTTCTAATACCGTGCTTGAATCTCAATGAAAAGAAGTGGTTTCAGCTTCTAGGCAGGCCACTTACCCATGCTCCAGTGTTTGTGATTTTACAATCTTTCTCTTTCTCCTTTCCTGTACATAGGGCTAACATACTCACCTCACTTGATATGTACTCATCTTGTAAAATTTTAAGTGATTTTCATCCCATATTTTTAAACTGTAACTCCCCTTGAGAGGCTTTCAAAATTTAGATGACTTCTTATGATCACAAAATACTGTTTGTTTTCAGGAATGCAGTATTTTCTGAATGACCAAACCAATTAGGAATAAACCCTGACACTAAGCTGTAAATGCCTTAGCACATACTTAAAGGAGAGAAGAAAAATGCCACTGATTTCAAGAATGCCATGATTTATTTTTTGGCTTCCACAGCTACACACTTTTGCTTACTGTGAATTGCATTAACTACAAATAATTCGCTCTTTAAGAAATGGTTGTTCAAGTAATTTTGTCAAGTGAAAAATATCTTTGGATGATGTAAACAGAATAGTGTTATAAAGTAGCCTGGCAAGGTTCAAGAGCTGAAGATGCCATTGTCACTTGTACAAGGAAACTGGTTTTGGATACTATAAAACTCGTATCAAAAAGGCAGCAATCCATTCACCTTTGAGGGGAATATATAAAGAATCTCGAGCAAAAGCAACTCAAAAGGGAAATGAGTACATCTGAAAGGTAAAACTCTTTTTTTCAGCAGGGGGATGAAACCTTACATCTACCTGGAGAACAAACACCAACAAGAGAACAGCAGTGTAGGCTTTCTTCCCCTACTTTGACATCGTGCTTTTACAACCGTGACCTCAAGAAGCTATCCCATGGATGACATGGTAGATCAGTCCCTGGAGCTGTCTGTTCATCAGCCAGCTGGCAGAACCTACCGAAAACCTGTCAGATAGGTTTCCATCACACCTGACCTGGAGTGAGCTTGTTTTGATCTAGTGACCCAGAGGCGTGAAGCATTCCTTGAGCTATTCTGTCTCCTGATGACTGTTACGCTTAATGCAAACCTTCTTCTCGGAAGGTTAATTTCGTATATAGATCAAATACATAGACAAAACAGGCTCCAGCCGGCCGCGCCTGGTGAAGCTGGAGCTGCAGCAGCTCCACACGTGCCTCGGGGAAGAAGAGCCTGGGATGAGAGTACCCCATCCACTTAACTGAGAGGCCTTTGTGGCCGTAACTGTCCTTGCATAGCGTTCACCAGCACAGTAAAACACCGAGGGAACAGAAGCCCACAGCTTTGTGTTTGAAATTGTCCAGATGCCTGTTAGAGGTCATGACCTCCATTGACCCTAGTGAAACTTCACAGAGATCTTCCTCGTTACGTCTGGCCCTGAAACATCCCAGAAGGACTGGAGGGATATACTCCAGCGCAAGGACATGGGCTTTCTCTTGGTGTTAAATACCAAGGTTGTGAACCCACTGCCTCTAGAGTGTCAAGGACCTGAAGGCATCAACGAGCCTCAATGGCCCTGACCAGCCTTGCCTGGGGCCTCCATCCCTCACCCCCATCCCCGGGCACCAACTGAAGCTCAGCCCTGGGCCTTTGGTCCCTCCTGCCATGGCTCAGCCAGAGCCATGCCTCTGCTTGGACAAGGATGAGCCAGACTCTCACCTGGGGGCTTCTGGCCTCTGCCCATCACCATGGGATCTGCTTGTCAGCCGCTGGCTTGGTCCTGACCCTGAGCCCCTTCCTGGCTTCACCTCGGACCCGCCTCGTCACCACCATGCCACCTCACGGTATGGGCTGTGGCTTTGGCTGGTGAGGCCCTTTTCCTGCCCCATGGCTCCCTGTCCCCCAGGGAGCAGTGGCCCTTGCTGCTCCCTGACAGAGAGGGTACAGCTGGCTCAGGCTGATCGTCTTTGAGAGGTGACGTTTTCTAATGCATTGCACAATCTTCTGCAGACTTTCACCTTTTTTGGCCATATATATGTATATGGTCAAAGGGGTATTTCACAATAACACAGCTGCCAGGTGTCTTCAACCCATGCATTGGGTTCTAGCAAAAAAGTGGTGCCCCCAAATGTTTAGGGCTGTAGCTGAGGCATAGACAATGTGGTTTCAATTCCTAGCTCCTCCACAGACTTTCTCTGTTACCATAAGCAAGCAGTTCCTCCAGCCACGATTACACACGGCGATTGGTACAGTAGCCATTGGTCAAGTTGCAAAGAAAATTGAAACCCTGGCACTGTGCCTGACTTGGCTCTGTTCATCATTTTGCTCCAGGGTGTCCAAGCCATTCAAATTGTCACTGTCACAGGTGGTGCCAAAGTCATTTCAGGAGGGACGTGGGGCCGACTTGTCTCCACCGTATTGATTAGTGATCAGGTACACAGCGCTAGCTGTGTGAATCGCATTGTTTTTCATCCACCGTAGTAAAGATGTGGTTAGACTGCTTGGCATGGGGTCCAAGCTTTTTTCTTCCTGCCATGCCCAAGTCCACATCGAAAAGGAAAGACTGTGCAACAGGGAGCTATATCAGGTGGGGGAAAAAAGCTCCATATCAGACTACAGTACGTATTTTTTTCTGTATGTTCTACATGATCATACTGAGCTCGGTATTTTAAATCTTTATTTATTAAAGGTAATTTTAGTGACCACTGTCTCTGGTAAGCTCACTTCTCAGCATGATCATGCTAATATGACAATTTGCATTCCCCTTGATTTGGATGTGTTGTGTCCACTAGTGAGAGCACATCTTGGAATCTGTGACATTTAAAACTGGTCAGGGAACGTTATTCTGCCATAAGGATGTAATTAGGGTTTCTAAAATGTTCACTTCTACCAAATAGATGGGAAAAAATCCATTTCAGTGATGCTCATGAAAGACAGTAAGAACGTGTCCTCATCTTGTCCATCAGAATTTCCTTATTTCCAGATTGATCTGTGAGCTGAATCAGCTGAGCATATTCACAGGAGCACTTGGCTCCAGCTCAAGGAAAGCAACATGGTAGTGGAAGGAGGCTGGAAGGGGAGGCAGTTCGGCAATACCCCAGTCGTAAGCCAGGCTGCGGATCCTGTGAAACCGTGCTCTTGGGTTCTGGATTCAACTCAGTGCTCTTCAGATGTAGCCCTTCCTTGCTCTGTGCTTCACTTCCTCATCTGTAGGAAAAGGTACAAGTGCTTTCCCTCTTTAAAGGATAATCCGGGGAGCATTAGCTGCTTGAATACAGCGAGGGTGGAGGTTAAATGTTCATCCCAGAGCTTTTACATTTATGTGAAGTTAGAGCTGATTCAGCCTAGTATAAGGAATTAAGACAAATGGAGTGGGGAGGAAAATGGGAAAAGCTCCCAAAAACATGCTTAAAACTTTCCCCCCCTTTCACAGGTGTCTGCAGCGTGGCATGGCCTTGCCGCAGAGCAGCAGGCTCCTCTGTCGTGTTTACATAACTCATTTTCAGAAGGAACTACGTATTTTTCTCAGTGGTAATATATTAGGAATGTGAAGAATGATGTTGATTCTTGCTCTCAAAACACTGAGTTAAAGCTACAGGGAGGAAAAGGAACCACAGAGTTTTTCTTGACCCGAGATATTTCAAATCAGTGCCCTCCACTTTTGTAGTTTGTCAGTTACTCACATTTTAAGGTTTCCTATTTACTCTGCACTGAAAGTGATAGCACTTATGAATCACTTGAGTCACAAGAAATAGACACATATGGTTTTATAGGCCATAAAGACAGAAAATGGTTTGAGAACAATAAAAAGAAAAAAACAACAAAAAAAACCCTGAAACTGAAAGTAGCTTGTCATGTGAACAATACAACATGGAATTTAGCATGCACACAAACAACAGATTTTGCATATTTAGCTCCAAGTGATAGTGTAATGGGCAACACTACACTATCTGACTTCAGTCAGTATTGATTTAATACAAGAAGTGATCAGCAGATCAGTGAGACCTGAGGCTGAAAAGAGAGTTGGTTCAGCAACAACCTCTGCACTATGACTTGCCCTTCTTTTCATGCTCTGCATACACTGATAACCAGGGAGCTTTACTTGTTCCCAGTAACAATAACAATACACCTTAGAAAGTAGTCACCGCTCTGGAAGAAACATACGTTTCAGACATAAAGCAGCTCTTTGGATTATGCGAATAAAAATAATGTAAAATGAAAGCACCCATTCCACAACAAGGTCACCTACCTCTTATACAGCCTCTTCCATCTGCAGAAAGCAGTTTATAAAGTAAGTGAGCATCATTAGAACCATTTCACCATGAAGGACACGGAAATCAAGAGAAGTCAATTCACAAGCTAATGGGAGACATCCCTTAGAATTTAGGTTTCAGTCTGGTGCTTTAACCCTGAGGTCTTGCTGCTTTATCGCTATCAGTGTATCATTGTGTTACAGCTGTACAGCTTTCATCTAGTCTGTAACTATATGTACTAACAGCACCTACAGAGCTTGTCTTCTTTCCAAAGAACAAGCTGTTAGTAGTATGAAAAGGACTTACAAACCCATCTCACACAAACTTGGCTCATCATGAGGCTCATGTACACCTTTAAGCTGATGGGTTGAATAAATGGTGATCAATGTTTTTTACTCAGGCTGGCAGCCTGTCACAAGTGGGGTTCTGCCAGGGATCGATACTGGGCCCCACACTGTTCAACATGTTCATAAATTATCTGGATGATGGGATTGAAAGCACCCTCACAAAGTCTGCTGATGACGACAAACTGGCTGGTGAGGCAGACATGTCAGAAGGGATAGCCATCTTACAGAGAGACCTGGACAAGCTGGAAGAGTGGGCAGGCAAGAAAGAGCATGAAGTTTAACAAAGGCAAGTGCAAGGTCCTGCACCTGGGATGACATAACCAAAGAGCCCGGTACAGGCTAGGACCTCTGTGGCTGGGGAGCAGCCTTGCTGAAAGGAGCTGGGGGTCCTGATGAACGTGAGTCAGCAGTGTGCCGCTGCAGCAACGAAGGCATATCAGATCCTGGGCTGCATCCGCAGGGGCATTACTAGCAGAGACAGAGATGTGATCATCCCACTCTACTCAGCACTTGTCAGGCCGAACGTGGAGTACTGTGTCCAGCTCTGGTCCCCACAATTCAAGAAGGACATGGACAGACTGGAGAGGGTCCAGAGGAGGGCCATGAAGATGATCAAAGGGCTGGAGAACCTGGCCTATGAGGAAAGACTGAAGGACTTACGTCTCTTCTCCATGGAGAAGAGAAGGCTCGGAGGACCTCATCACAGTATTCCAGTACTTAAGGGGTGGCTACAAAGATGACAGAGGCTCTTTTTTTCACAACGAGCCACATAGAGAAGACAAGGGGCAATGTGTACAAGTTGCACTGGCAAATGTTTCATCTCAACATAAGAAAGAAATTTTTTACAATGAGAAAAATCAATCACTGGAACAACCTCCCCAGGGATGTGGTAGAGTCCCCATTGCTGGATGTTTTCAAGATGTGATTGGACAGATAATCTCATCGAGGCTCCCGTTCCCACAAAAGGTTGGACCAGATGATCTTTTGAGGTCCCTTCCCACCTGGGCTGTTCTATGATTCTATGAAATATCTGGGGTGTGTTGTCCTAGTGCCCAATACGCATGAGTAATGGAGTGAAGGACAAAGAGAGGTGCAAAAGAATTTAGAACATGCTTGAACAATTCTGGTGGACTTGAGGTACATTTTGAATGATGTTGAGGTACAGTTTTCAAGGTGTGTTTCCTTTCAGTAACATAACCTGTATTTTGATATATTTACATAGGTGTTTCATGTACTTATGGAGCAGATTGAGTATAAAAGAGAAAAGGGTTAGATACAATGAAGAAAAGCATTTGAGGTCTTTCTTTTTCATAAACAAGAAAAGAAGAAAATGAGTCAGAGAAAAGACCTAATTCATACAGATTTATATACTGCCTTGATGTCAACCAAGATTTACAGGGTATTACTAAGCTCAGTGTGAGCATTTCCCAAGGACTGTAGAAATTAATGTTAAAATAGCGAAATGTCATGAGGAGATATAGGCCCAGATTTAATCAAATCAAATATACATACAGAGGCTTCTGGCAAAGCCGTATCCAGTATAATCTTAATAGTGCTTGACTATGATAATATGGATTAGAAATAACTCAGACTTTAAGTAGAAAGAACAATTGTTGAAAAATGAGGAGTATTAAGGAAGTAGTTAACATTTCCTGACATTCAGTCAATTTGGGGGCAGAGGGGCAAACTACAAATCAGCGTTTTCCCACATTTTCCTGCAAAAGCGTTGAAAGGAAACATCTTCTGTCTTCACTTTGAAATAGTATTGCCAGCTCGCAACTTACATACTTTTAAGGAGAGAAGGAAGATGGTGAATGAGTTAAATACAAGACTATTATAGGAGGTTTGTCTCATGCTGAGCCAATCCAAAATTATTTTCTTGTATCCCCTTTCTTTGCAATCAGCAGAAAGGAAAAAATCTTTTTTTGTTGTTTTCTTTTGACATTTTCTGGTTTAGAAAATATTTTCTGGTTTATATGTTGTTGTTTTTTACTTCTCCATTCACACAGTTCCTAATACAAGATATTATGGCCTAGCACTGAAGTTGCAAGAAAGAACCAGCATGTAAAAAAACCCAACAAAACTAACATCCTTGAACTTTTTTCTTATTTTGGTTCTTGTGATGGAGGAGCATAAATCAGAGGTTTATCTGCTCAAGAGAGCAGGACAGTTAAGTACAAGTGATTATGAGAGAGTTGAAGCACAGGAAATTTCTCAGACTCTGCTGGAAATATTAGGGTTTGCAAATCTAGAAATTTGCCAAGGAAAATAAAATATTTCATAATTTTCTCCATAAAATGCAACACCCTATTTATGAAATAACTAGAAGTATACTAGAATACTAATAATGCTAAGTGCATTGCAGTATTGGTACAAGTGTTACATTACAGGTGCATTGTCAGTTTGCCGGTAGTTCCTGGGATGCACCAGCTGTTTAAGAGCGCGCAACACCCAGCCAGGGCATGAGGAACGGTGCCAAACAGCCGGCGTTGCTGAAAGATTTCATGGTTGGATTCTCTCTTACCTACCAAAGTCTCAGCATTGTTTTGGCAGAGAGGGGGTGTTCATAATATTTTATTTACGTGAATTCTCTTTTACGTACCAAGAACAGAGCTTAGACTGTTATCTTGTCTTTTACTGAAGGAATAGGGTCTCCCTCTTTATTTCTTTTCTTCTTTATTATAAGAGGATATGTAGAATCTTTGAAGTCTTTCCATATATCAAATGCTGTTGAAAAAATTAAATCTACAGTTCAGAAATTGTGTGGCAGTAAACATAAACTGTTTATTTTGCACTTAGAGAACCTGGCTAAAAAGTAGATTATCAAAAGGGAAGGGTTAAAATCCTGGCATATCCCCACCGCCACCACCTCTTCTTTTTGACTGTGTTCCACTAGTGAGGCCAAAGCAATTAATGGTTTGTCACTGAAGGCACCAACTTAATATTTTTCCACTAATTAACTTGCTCTTACAGATCATGGCTTCCTACACAGGAAGAAGTGAAGGGCTTGAAAAAAATTAACTCTGCGGGACAGCAGGGCAGTGGGGGGGTAGGCAGGATGCTGCAGCAGCTTTATCAAGGCTACAGTTGCGATCTGATTATTTTACCCATCCACTGGGAGAGGTGGTGAGGACAAACCAGTGTCTCTCCAAGTTTTTCTTTGTTTAGGCTGCTCTAATTATGTCTGATTTGGCTTACGATTTCAGACAAATTTCATTTTCAAATTAGGGTAACATTAATATGCTTGTCATACAATTGGTTTCATTTACATAGTTCTCCATGTGTGCATGTGTTGAGAGGGAGGAAATTTTATTTAGAAAAATCCAGCAGAAACTGTTTTTCCCCATCCACCTTTTTCTCTCAGGCTGTAAACTTCTATGATTCTCAGCTGTCTCTTCTGTTACAAAGGCAATCAGATTACACCCCCGACTTCCCAACAGCAATTAAGAGAGGTTAAATAAAATCTACAGAACTCTGTCCTAGAGCTATTTCTGGAGAATGATCAAAATATAAAGGTCTTCATGTCACTGTCTGGCATCTGTGTGTGCATGAAGAGGAAAAGGCGTCAGGGGAATGGAAAGTGGCTGTGAAAGAGCTTAAGGCTAAGGTCCAAGTTTGAATTTATATGGTATACACATCCTCTGGGATGCTAGTCCTCCTTATGTATGACATGTATGTCTGGGGGAAAGTCTCATAAAAATAAATGTCTTTCAGACTCCTTAGAACAGGAAAATGCAACAACCTTTGTTGACCGCTTCAGGAAGGGTCTTGGTAAGACTCATTTATTGCAAGTAGTCCTTCCATGTCATTTAATCTTAACTATAGCAAGTGCAGATCTGCTCATCTTGTTAAATCCTGAAAATATACAGGGAATGTATATGTTTCTGTAATAAGTAAGATGGAGGCATCCGTGTAATTTTTTTTTTTTTAAGTCTGAGACAAAATAAGATGTTCTAATTGACTCTTAGTTATTTAAAACCAAATAAATTAACTTTTAAAAATATTTTACTCACATCAAGGTTTAGTGGTTTGAACACCAATTATTGCATTCTGCCAGATCAAGACCTAAGAAACATCCAAATGAACCACCCTGCCTATCTTAAGAGGCAGTTGTCAGCAAAAGCTAAGCGGTTTATCAAAATATTAGTATATGGGAATGAACAACTAGGTCTCCTTAATCATGCTAGGCAGGCAGCTGTGACCAGCACAGATGACAGTGAAACAATATTGATAGCAAATCCATTACTTTCAGTTATTTCAAGCTAGTGCTATGCACAATTATTGCAACAAACCTCTACTGCACTTTCTCTTTTGTGGTTTTCTCAGGTTAGAGAGGAAACAATGTAATGAAAGAGATTTTAAGAAATAGGAGGGCTAGGTGTATCATAAACATTTGTAAAGTAATTCTTATTTCCTCCTGGTTCCTGAAATTTCATTATATATTTAATAACATACTGATAGCATTTGTTCTGCAAGAAGCTCTAAATGGTTCTCTTTGAAATTTTACTTTGGTTTTTTTTTTAAGGAAAGAAGCATTGTCATGGAAGCATGTGAACAAAATCACACTTTTCTCAATTTGTAGGATCATTTAGACCTACTCATAGTGCACGCACCCATATTAAACTCAGGGGGAATGCAATGGGCTTGCGGTAAATTTGCAACAACAACAAAAAAAATTGTGCCTGTGTCATTGTCGTGGTCCCAGCCAGC